ACTTGCTTTACAGAAATGGACACTTCTTTTCTACAAATCAAATGAAGACGTATGCATGTATATGAGATATTGAAGGATGAACCAGTAAAAACATTTTTATGGCTTTCCTTTTAGACACTGGAAAGAAAGAAAGAAAGAAAGAAAAGAAAAGAAAAGAAAAGAAAAGAAAAGAAAAGAAAAGAAAAGAAAAATCATACACCGACATATGTCCACAGTCAACACTTCTAAATGTTTCTCAAGTCAAGATTTGAGGTCATAAAATGCTTGCTTAAATATAGTGAAAGAAAAGCTTTTGGACCGTTTTTGTCAGATGGAAAAGAGTATCCTTCCAAGGTTTGCAAAACTCTTTTTTTTTTGGTGACCACACAATCAAATCCTCCTGCTTTTCCCGTTCTTCTCCTGCAAGTCCCCAAGTACTTTCAAAAGAAGAGAGGTGAACTTTCCGTCGCGCACGGCCTGAATCAACAAGTTGCGTTCTGAAAATCTAGTCGAGCTTCAACCGGGTAGCCAAACTCGGATCTTCGTTAGGGCTCGAGGTAAGCCGGGCAAAGCCGGAACAGCCGGACACCTTCCGGAGGTCCGAAATGTAGGCAGGTGCTCCACCCGAGTCGCCCCCCCGCCCCCACCCCCACCCCGATTCAGAAGCCGGGATTCTCCGTTCCCACAACTCTTCGTCCCGCAAGTCACGGAGAAAGCACCCGAGGAAAGCTTGCCGTGACCCGCATCCTCGGCCGCGACCCTCAAGCCAGGACCCGGGCTGAGTTGGCTTAAACTCGCGGGGCGGTCGTGGGAACGCAGCCCCGGGTGGCAGCCGAGGCAGGGCAGGCTGCGGAGCCAGCAGAAAGGGGCGAGAGGAAACGAACCTGAGCCTAAAGTCGCGGGTCGAGTTCCCCCCACCCCCCCGCCGCCCCAGGCTACACGTGCCCCGTCCAGCCCCTTCTGCAAAAACCCCGCCGTGCCCTTGCCCCGTGGCTTACCGGAGGGTGCTGTCCGGAGGGCCGGCGGGGGCCAGCGGGGTCGGCAGCAAGAGTCTCTCGTCCCCTTCCAGCCCTTTGGAAGAAGGAGGGCAGCCACCAGCTGCTGCCACCAGCGGTTCCTGGAGACGCGCCCTGTGCCAGCCAGCCCGCCCGCCCGCCCGCCCGGGCATTCGCCCACAGCTGACCCGGCGCTCCCTGGCAGAGAGGCGAAAACCCGGCCTGGATCCCCCGAGCGAGGCGCTGCTCCGCCCCGAGGAGAGGAAAAACCCGGACTGGATGAACAGAAGGGGCACGGCCGCTCGGGGGCGTCAGCAACAACACTCCCCCCCCCCCCACCCCGCCCCAATTGCCCGGAGCTGGTAGGAAGCGAAGTGCCAATAACATCCAAATCTTTAGATTTTCATTGGAGCCAACAGTCAAACAGGAGTTCAGATGGAATGGAATGGAATAGAATAGCATATTGAATGAATATTGGAATGAAGAATAGAATAGAATAGAATAGAATAGAATAGAATAGAATAGAATAGGACAGGTTATTGGAATGAGAGAATAGAAATAGAATAGAATAGAAAACATGGAGTGGAGTCCAATGGAATGGAATGGAATGGAATAGAATAGAACAGAACAGAACAGAACAGAACAGAACAGAACAGAACAGAACAGAACAGAATAATAGAGTTGGAGTAGAGTAGAATAGAGTAGAGTAGAATAATAATAGAATAATAGAATTGGAGTAGAGTAGAGTAGAATAGAATAGAAAATAGAATAGCATATTGAATGAATATTGGAATGAAGAATAGAATAGAATAGGATAGGATAGAATAGGATAGGATAGGATAGGATAGGATAGATACAAGGAACAAGTTCTCCTAATATTGTAACTCTTGAAGACTTGAAATAACTATTGTTGGTAGGACTGATTCTAATACTAGGTAAAGGGAATGTTGCAGGTCCCACCCTTGAGGGAGATACACCTGGTGGGACCTGGAAGAAGGGCCTTCTCCGTGGTGGCTCCAACTCTCTGGAACATCCTCCCCCCAGAGATTAGAATGGCCCCCTCACTAATACTCTTCCGAAAGGCACTGAAGACCTGGTTTGGCCAGCGGGCCTGGGGAACCCGGAGTGGGATGGAGCCCATCAAATGGCCAGCGTGATCTGCTGTTGTCGGGGAGAGGGGTGGGAGTTGGGTTCCCCACCCCCCACCCCAATTTTGTTCTATCATACTTTACTAATTTATTTGATTACTCTTGTTAGTTTTTATTGTTTTTTTTATTTTTATTTTTTGTTTTAAATAGGGTTTTACATCGTGTAAGCCGCCTCGAGTCGCCAGGGGGCCTATAGGCAGCAATATAAATTAAATAAATAAATAATTTCCCATTAAATCGATATTTCGGGTGATAAGCAGGTTTTTGGCCGAGTGCTGATTTTTTTTATTCGAAACCAGGAACTCCCAACAGTTCTGGACTCCAACCCCCATCCTCCTCAACCAGGTAGACTCCAGAGTTTCCGAGTTTCATCCCTATGGAATAAGGATGCATCCACCGTCTGTAGCCTGTAGCTACAAACTCTCTAGAGAAGGTAGCCAAACTTGCTAGGGAAGTTAGGGTGTTGGCCAATATTTAAATGAATTTAGTTGAGGGAGGATTTGGAACTCATGTCAGCTGACATAAACATTTGTGGCATGTGATTTTACACCCTTTTTTTAAAAAAAACCCAAAGCAACGGATTTATTCTGCAACTCTCTAATTTTCAATAATTTGCTCTGCCTTTCTCAGAGATTCCAGAGGTTTTTTTTAAATACCAAACTAATGTATTATTGCATGGACTTTGGGGGGAATCGCTACATCCGAAGTATAAAATCTGATGTTGCAAAACAGGTTTCCGATGGCTAGCAAAATGCTTTTATGCAAGAAGTTCTTTTCAGGACGTGCCTAATACCCCTTTCTCCTATTTTCCCCATAACAACAACCCTGTGAAGTGGGTTGGGCTGAGAGAGAGACATTGCCCCGAAATTATGGACTAAGGCAGGACTGGAACTCACTGTCTCCTGGTTTCCAGCCTGGCACCTTAACTACTAGGAAGTACCACCCACCGAAATACACATTAAAGGGCTTGGGATTTTCTAGAGTGGTTTGTAAAAACGGAAGAACAGGGGAAATCCAGAACCCAAGTTATTTAGGATCCAGAGAAACAGGGAGGGATTGCTAGGAAAGGGAGGAGTTGGGAAAATGGATGGAAGAAGAACCGAGTGGTGTATCCTTAAGAAGGAGGGGGAAGAATACCCTTCCCAGCCTACAGAATTTTGTTATAAATCCCATTCGTCTAGACTGAATTCTTTTTGGTATGTCAAATATGCACCACTGTATCCAGCCATGCTTGTGCGATTTGGAGAACAAATGCATCTCAGAAGGAGCTGGTGAATAACTTGTTTTGAATAAGATATTTCCTTAGGACAGGGCCCCCACAAACTTGGCAACTTGAAGACTCGAGGACTTCAACTCTCAGAAGAGCTGGCTGGAGAATTCTGGGAGTTGAAATCCACAAGTCTTCAAGTTGCCAAGTTTGGGGACCCCTGGCTTAGGAAATAAATGTAAACCAACCTCACAGCATCGCATGAATTAGCAAAGAGCCCAGAATCCAAAGTCTGCATCTTTAGTCGGGCTCATGGATTACGAGCCTTCCGGAGGTACTCCACTTTTCAGCACAAAATGACTTTTGCCAAATACACCAGAAAGGGAAAGACAGCGTGAATTAAATTACATTTTGCTTTAACTTTAAGTAGCTGAGCAGGTCTCGGTAGATTAATTCAACTCTTCACTTCATCCACTGTTTACAAGCTCATTAGAGCTGCCGAACAGATGATTATTATTTTATTATTATTATTATATCTTACTGCAGGGGTCTTCAAACTTGACAGCTTTAAGATTTGTGGACTTCAACTCCCAGAATTCCTCCCATGTTAGCTCAGGAATCCTGGGAATTGAAGTCCACCAGTCTTAAACTTGCCAAGTTTGAAGACCCCTGATCGAGCTATCTATCTATCTATCTATCTATCTATCTATCTATCTATCTATCTATCTATCTATCTATCTATCTATCTATCTATCTATCTATCTATCTATTCATTCTATCTTTCTCTCTATTCTACCTTTCTCTATCTATTCTATCTTTCTATCTATCTATTCTATCTTTCTCTCTCTCCCTCTGTCTATCTATTCTATCTATCTCTCTTTCTCTCTATCTATTCTACCTCTCTTTATCTATTCCAGGGGTCTTCAAACTTGACAGCTTTAAGACTTCTGGACTTCAACTCCCAGAATTCCTCCTCCAGTCATGTTAGTTCAGGAATTCTGGGAGTTGAAATCCACAAGTCTTAAACTTGCCAAGTTTGCAGAACCTTGTCTTAATGTGTTCCTTTCGTTTTGGTTTAAGGCAGTGTTTGTCAAAGTTGGCAACTTTATTAGGCATGGGGAATACATTTCCCAGAATTCCCCAGAGGGCTTAAAACAGGGGATCCCCAAACTTGACAAATTTAAGACTGGTGGATTTCAACTCCCAGAATTCCTCAGTCAGCAAAGGAGTTGGAAGTCCTTTACAGTTGCCAAGTTTGGAGACCCCTGGCTTAAAGGCAAGAGATAACTGGGTGCGTCTTGAATCCCTTTCCCTCTCACTCTTCAGTTTCGGAATAAAAACGGGGCGCCCCCTCTGGAACAACTTGCTTCCCTGGCCCTCCGCGTGGTCTCCCGTCCAACCTTCCTTAGCTTTAGCAGCTCCCGGGCCAGCTGAAACAAGGAAGGGCGCTCCTCCAGGGAAACCTTTTCATTTTACGAGTCAACCATTTTAACGTGAGAACCAGCTGCCTTCAGCGGGCAGCAAACCGACGCTCACCGGCTCTTCTTCGCGCTCTCGTGGGAGCCCCGCCCGGGAGGCGCAGCCAAGGCTGCCTGGCCCCGCCCCCCGCCCCCCTCGGTTTCCGAAACGCGCCTGCGCCGCGGAGCTCTCGCGGGCCTCTCGCGATGCTTGGCGCGAGCGGGAGTCCAGTTAGCTTCATCGTAGCGTCTCCCCGTTAACCGGCCCAAAATGGATGCCGGTGCAGCTGCTGAGCCCGCTTCCACGCCGGCCTCGGCCACCCCGGGCCTGTCGGGCGGCGAGGAGGAGCCCTCAACCTCGGCCGCTTTCTCGCAGGAGCCCGTCGAGGACGAGGTGGGTCGTCGTCGTCGGTGGTGGTGGTGGTGGTGGGAGAAGCGGCGGGGGGGGGGGGGGGGGCTCCGCGCCTCGTCGCCCATGGCAACCGGGTACCTCACCGTCGGCGTTGGATTCAGTCTTGCCCTTGGGGGCCTCCTTCTCTTCCCTTCCCGGGGCCTTTCGGGTCAGCTGACCGGCGAGTGCCGGGCTTTCAGGGAGAGAAGCGTGTTGGCAGGTTCGGGCTTGGATGGGAGACCACGGGGAGATCCCGCTTCCGGAGGCCGGACTGGGGAGAGGAAAAGTGGACCCTGGAAACATTTGGTGGATTGATTGGTTGATGATTGATTGATTGATTGAATTTACATTGCCGCCTATTGGCCCATGGCGACTTGAGCCGGCTTACCGAATGTAAAACCATATTTCAAATAAAAACAATGGGAAAAAGCAATACAGGCTAACAAAAAGAATCAGATAAATTAATAAAGTGCAGTAGAACAACATCTGGAATAAATAAATAAATATTCCCCCTCCTCAGGCCATTTCCCACACCTTGAGATTATAGGGATATAATTTTTGCACGCAGGTCTGTCCTAAAACTGGTTCCTTTTGCCTCTTCCCCATCAGCACTGTTGTTATCGGAGTCTGCCTGCTGCTAGTCATTACAGGTAGTCCTCGACTTACAACAGTTCATTTAGTGACGGTTCAAGGTTGCAACAGCCCTGACTTACGGGTGTTTTTTTTTTCCACATGTAACGACGGCTGCGGTATCCCCCATGGTCCTGTGATCAAAATCGAGATGGGTGGCAATCGACTCGCATTTATGGCGGTTGCGGTGCGTATCATGGGATCCCCTTTTGCGACCTTCCGACGAGCAAAGTCAGTGGGGAGGCCGAGTCCGCTTAACAACTGTATTGCTAATTTAACAGGTGCATTGATTCACTTGTCCGCTGTGCCAAGAAAGGTTGTAAAATGAGGCACAACTCGCTTAGCAACAGAAATGTTGGGCTTAATTATGGTCGTAAGTTTGAGGACTACCTGTATTTTCTTCATAATGATTTAGCCCTAGGATTTGTATTTACAGGGCTTCCAATGAATTGAATCCACCCCTCTTCTCTCTCCTCTCCTTCTCCCACCATTGCATAATATGTCTGAAATCCATGGAGAAGGCAGGAGCAAATTGTTGAGACTCTGGAAAAAGTGCAGAGAAGAGCAACCAGGATGATTAGGGGACTGGAGACTAAAACATATGAAGAAGGGTTACAGGAACTGCGCATGTCTAGTCTAGGGAAGAGAAGGACCAGGGGAGACAGGAGAGCAGCCTTCCAATATTTGAGGGGCTGTCACAAAGAGGAGGAGAGGGTGAAGCTATTTTCCAAGGCACCTGAAGGCCAGACAAGGAATAATGGATGGAAACTGAACAAGAAGAGATTCAACCTGGAAATAAGGAGAATTTTTCTGACAGTGAGGACAATCAACTGATGGAACAGAAGTTGCCTTTGGAAGTTGTGGGAGCTTCATCAGCGGAGGCTTTCAAGAAGAGATTGGACTGCCATCAGTCAGAAATGGTGTAGGGTCTTCTGCCTGGGGTGGGGTGGGGTGGATTAGATGACCTATAAGGTCCCTCCCAACTCTGTTAATCTGTTAATAATAATCCTTGCATTGCTGTTTAAAAAAACAAACAAGAACACCCACAATCTCTGCATGGAGGCACCCCCAAAAATCAGGTTTAGGTTTGACCACAGTGAGGCTTTCTTTCCCTGACACCTGGCTGAACTAGGTGGATCTCATGAAGCCTTTTAGGTTGATCTGATACAGGGTAGTCCTTGGCTTACGACCACAATTGAGCCCAGAATTTATGTTGCTAAGTGAGAAATGTGTTAAGTGAGTTTTGCCCAATTTTACGACTTTTCTTGCCACATTTGTTAAGTGAATCACTGCGGTTGTAAGATTAATAATACGGTTGTTAAGTGAATCTGGCTTTCTCATTGACTTCGCTTGTCAGAAGGTTGAAAAAGGGGACAACATGACCCTGGGACACTGCAACCGTCATAAATGTGAGTCAGTTGGCAAGCATCCGAACATAAATCATGTGACCAGGGGGAATGCCGCAAAGGTTGTAAGTGTGAAAAAATGTCACTTTTTTTCAGTTCTATTGTAACTTTGAATAAGTAAATAATCAGATAGGGACAGGGGATGATAACTGGTGCATTTTGGGGGCATCAACAAGCTAGTATTTGCAGTATAAATAGCTTTTGCTTTTCTGTAGTTCCCCTGGTATCTGCCATGGCTACCCAGGATGTTTTTTTTCTGCCCCCCCTGCCCCCCCCCTGAAATGTCCTATCATGTCCTTGGTTTCCAAGGCAACGAGGTTCAGTCTTTGAAGCATCGCTCCTCTGAAAAATAATTGTCTTCTTTTAAGAGGATGGGTGGTGAAAGACGGGAAGGCAGTGTGTCTCATAAGTGGCATTCAGAGAACTGGAGCTTTCTCTGAACCACCAGTTGCTGGGAGAACAGTAAGCGGGAACAGTTGCTGAGGTAGCATCCTGGCTGCATCTTTTGGGCCAGTGTTGAAAATGGGATACTTCAGGCACGTTCTGCAAGGTTCTCCTTGGTTTTTATGATGAAGGGTGGCTATTTATGGGCCATTTGAGGACACATAGTGTTCTCTGTCTTTTAAATGTTTTCATTTGAAATAGAAAAAAAAGGAATTTTGCATCAACATCTGGGATTCAGTTCATCCAGTGAGTTGCAGATCCAATGAAGGATCAATTCTCAATTTCTTTGCTCTTAGTGTAAAATGCTTATCTCTACTGGGCTGATTCCCTAGGGCTCACACCGACGAATTCAGCTATAGGCTATAGTCTGTACATCACTAGCTACTATAGGGGCCAAATGTTAAACAAAGTTTTTATATGATCCAGCATGGCTTTCCTGATGGGAAAGAGAGGAAGAGGGAGGGAGAGAGGGAGCGACAGACAGACAGAGAGAGCTAGTCAGTTTCATTCATCAGCTTTTGACACAAGCTTGGAAACCAATTGCTAAGCTACATTGGTTTTTAGAGGAGTTTTGCAATAAATGCCTGCCTGTCTGTAATTCAAATGCAGCCTGTGTATTTGTGGTTCAGCGTACCAAGTGGGCTAATTCAGTAAAGTCTGTATCAGTTAAGCATGGGTTCAAATATTGTTTTAACAAATCCAGTGTGTAATCTGGCAGCAAACTTATTCCATTTGTAGGAATTTCCAGCTTTTGTTGTTTATTATACTGAACTGGAATAGGCTGACCAAAAGTATGTACAGTTATCTGTTTTTCCTTGTATTCCTTTGGCCTTAATCTGCCCATTTGGATATACATTAATTAATCTGCTCATATATTTACTAATGTCATAAGCAAACCAGTCACTTTTTTATACATAAATATTTTAGGGAAGTGACCATGTTTTTTCATTTGTAACAAAATCAGTTATTTGTGAACCAAAGGTCAAACACTTTACATTAGTCCATCTAATGCCTATTTACTCAGCATTGGGTGATTATACAGCTTTATTGTAATATATTTGTATACTCTAAGCATGAAGTATTCTCAGGTGACATATTATTTTTCTGACTTGTTTAAAATGAGGCTTACAATCCTTGAAATGTCAAAACAGCTCAAAAATATTGTGAACTGAAATCTATTAACAAATTCTTTATATTTTACTAATAAACTAGGTAAGTACTGGCCATTTATGATGGCTTTGTTTAATACACAGTAATGTTCAAATTGGTAATACATACTTTTATGGTAGACACACCAGACAAAGTTTATTCCCATGGTTCTCAACCTGTGGTCCGCAGACCCTTGGGGTGGGGCTTGGTGTCATGGGGTCGGGTAAGGCTTGAACAACTGTTATGATTTAAATCTTAAGTCTTGGAGATCCGTGGTACAGTCTCTGGCCACAAAAAGGCATTTAAGGGGTGTGGTGAAGAAAAGGCTGAGAACCACGGCTCTGTTCCATTTTAATGTTTTAATCTGTGTTATGCTGGGAAAAGAACCTGTCTTTTTTCTTTATTAAATATGTTGTGATTGAAGAATTTTCACTTTATTTACAGAAAAATGATCCTCCATTTCAACTCAAACTTCCTCCAAAGGCAACTAAGTCCGAAAAAGAAATTGATCCGGAATATGAAGAGAAGATGGTAAATTTGTTACTTGGACTTTTTGCCTGTGGTGTCTTTTGTTAAATTTAATTTTGCTGATAAGAAGTCCCTGTATTATACATTTACCTTTTAAAATGATCTAACCAATTGTTCCATTCAATGATAATTGAACTGAAAAAAAATGTTCATACCTCTTCCTGTGATATTATTCCCTGAACAGGTGACTTCCTCCTTCCCTCCCTCCAGCAGGTTGGGCGGCTGAATTGCACCCTTTGTTCCTCAGATGTTGCTTAGTCCTACTCTTGATGTACCTGCTTGCTATGGACACTCAAGACTCTTTAGCTTCAGGCTTCTAACCATGCTTGTCAGGGAGAGCTCCCACTGTAGTAATTTATACAAGCTGAGGAGGACAAAGGGCATTAAGCTGCCTTGGTGGAAATCAAGTTGTTGTCTTTCATAGGTTAAGGGTCTTGCTTTTTTTTAAAAAAAAATTCCATTTGTTTTCTGGCCTGAAAAAGTTAACTGTAGGTTGATTTACAACTTGATGTCTCTTCTGGCCTCTAGCAGCCAGTTACTGTTAGTCTTGCAACACATAATTACAGGCTTGATCTTAAACTTTCTGTGCCAAAGGCTAATGTTTTAGAATCCAGGCAGCATTTCCTGACCAAGTTTATGTCATTTGGTTCTGGAATGGTTTTTCTCTACAGCTTAAGAATGAAGTCTTTTTCTCGAGGAATAGCTTGGGAGAAACAGTTTTAGTGTTTTGTGTCTCGAGATAGCAGTAAGTATTATGGCCCCTTTATCTTGGTGCAGTACATAGAATAAAAGCAATAATAATGTGCAGCCAGCTATAAAATCTCAACATAAAACATGGAGCCTCTAGGCTAAAAGGCACATAAGATATAATAACAGCATCACTTTAATAAGTTAAAAATAACCAGGTCCGCAAGGGCACATCCCCCATTGATACATTAGTGATTTATAAATAAATTTGGCATAGCATGTTAGAAAAGCTTCATCTCTGAAATGTTTCTTCTAAATATCTATTATGTAGATATTGCTTTCCTGTTATCTTCCTTGAAATAGTACTGAGTTCATAAATTTATATGAACCATATTTTTGAATAAGGCACAATATTCAAAGGTAATAAAACAGTCACACAATACAGTAACAGCATGATGATTCCTACTACAGTGTGTGAATCCATCTAGTTCCTGGCTTGTTTTGTGCTATTTTTTTCTGCTAGTTGAGAGATAAGAGCACAGTAACCAGATATCAGAATTCTGCATTCAGACTTAAGATCGTAATCTGAACTTTTATTTCCTTTATTGTATTACCAGGGTGTGTTAATTCCTATTTATTATTGCTCTATTATTTTATTCTTGATATATGTATGTTGCCTGAGGCTTTGAGGCTGAAATAATAGAAAGTCCCATAAATAAATACTTCTGCATAATGCACAGCCATAATGGGGTTTGTTTTTCTCTACCTTGATGATAAATCCACTCTTTATCTAGGAAACCTGTAAGACCACCTGTCTTGTATACCATAGCTCTGGCTCATAGAAAAAAAGTAAAGAAGTCCCTGTGGATTTTATGCCACTACTCATTGCTGACTATAGGGCACTGTCCGAAGACATTTCCCCGGTCATGTTGCTAAATTGGTACTTATTTATCTACTTGCGTTCGCATGCTTTCGAACTGCTAGGTTGGAAGGAGCTGGAGGGGAGGACGAGAGCTCTTCCCGTTGCATGGCACCTGGGTCATAGTAACTATAAAAATACATAAGAAACTATAAAACCCCCAAGACCCCAAAACCCAGCACCTGGTGCCCGAAAGCAGTACTCCTCACTAATAACAACAATCACCATGATTCATCCTCATCTGACTCCGGTGCTTGGAGAACACAGCTGCCGTATTTTGTGCAGGGCAGAATTCTTAAACTTCTATCCGAAATGCATGGGATGGATAAAACAGCCGAACTTGCCAGTCTGATGACTTTATGTTGAAACAGCTTTAAGCTACACTTCTGGGTGTTACTTCTTGAACCTCAGTGGTTTCATATTTGAAATCTATTTGAGATTAATGACTGATCCTAATTGCTGGAGTGTTACTTGATAAAGAACAGAAGAAAATCAACAAGATTTTCAAATAAAAATGGAAGTGAAGGCAAATATACATGTCATCCCAGGGTAATGTTGCAGGATCCAATCCGGGTTGGTCACTGAGACCAGAGGTTTAGTTTCCTGAGCTCTTGGACTCATCCTCAGGAAACATAGATGCACACATTCTTCTAGAGCAGAGGTCTCCAAACTTGGCAACTTTAAGACTTGTGGATTTCAACTCCCAGAATTGGCTGGCTGAGGAATCCTGGGAGTTAAAGTCCACAAATCTTAAATTTGCCAAGTTTGGAGACCCTGATGGGCTCCAGCACAAGTCTTAAAGCTTGGAAGACTAAAACTCTGATCCTAGTGTCGGACCCAGATTGGATCCTGCAAAAATGGAGGTCCTTAAATCGGAGATAGGCAGTCCCCATGGAAATTGTTCATGTAGAATGAATTGCAAATTGGAACAATTACATTTTCATTGCATAGATATGTTGCAGGGAAAAGCTTTGTTTATTTTTTATATGTTGCCCATCTGCCTGTCCAGTGAACCAGGACAGCTTGATATGAACCCTGCTAAGTTGCAATTAAAACTGAAGGCTATAAATATTATGGAAAATAGCTCTTACAAAAAAAAAAATGACTTCAGCTACTAATTCAATCTCTTTCCTTACTAAGAACCAGATTTCAAGTGGGGCATGTAACAAGTACAGTAAACTTACATTTCCCCCCCCCCCAGTCATAGCAATCAAATCAATTTTTAAAACAATTAAAATATTCTTATGAACAATGTATAAATTATTCTTCATTACCAAAAGTTTTGTGGAATTTAGATGGAATTTCTGGTTCCCTGAAAAGGCTATATATAATTTTTGGGGAGTAAACTCTCATTGAATTCAATCTTTGCTGCCCTTACAGATTATTTTATGTTTGGAAGTTTGGAAGTTACAGAACCTAGCTTTGAAAATCATTCTTAAATGCCTGATTTTCCCATCGTTTTTGAAAAAGAGCAAAGTACATAGTGAATAGTCAGATATTTTTGAACATTTTCAACCTAACAGGCTGACTATAAAGTTTAGAAGAATAAACAAATTATATATGTGTAAAATGGTGTTTCTTCCTCTGGGATTCATGAAAAAGTTCTGGATTATGTTGCCCTCATGTGGTAAAATTATACATTGTCTACAGTATTTATTTAATTTCATAGTTCTGTATTGTCCAACCACAAAAGCAGTGTTCCTGAAATATTGGTTTAGATCCAGACTAATGTTTCAAATTAAAATAGTAAATTATCATGATTAAATGATAATTACATAAATTCTGTTGTTTAGAATTTGGATCAAGAGTCATATACATTTTACTGAAAATGGATGTTAAGTTGTTGAATTTTCTCCAGGTAAGAGTAAATATGTATATGTATGATTATTAATTTAGTCTGGATCCAGGCTTAATATTTTGCAATAAATATCTGAGCTGTGTTTTAAACTTGAAAATCTCATATTCATTAGAATGTGGATAATGCAAAATACAATATGTGCAATACTCAGCCTCTATTGAATAATATGTAGATGTCTTTATTCTGTGCTGCTTTAAGTCCTTTTACAAAGTTATGTTCTGATTTATTGTTCTGGAACTTCACCAAGTTTCAAATGTTCTGTTAGACAATATTCCACAATTCTTGCATAAAATGTTCTGGTGAGGCAAGGAGGAGACGTTAGTAATCAGTGTGATTTTCCTTAAATCAGAATATCCTTCAATCTGATCATAGTTAGGATATTTGCAGAGCTCCAGAGCTGCCCTCTTTCCACAGCCTTTGGAATTGCTGAACAGGTTCCTTGTTTAGAGTGTCAGGAATCAATATTACTATAGTTATTCCACTTAGTGTGATGCCCAAGTTGTCCCAGAGAATGTTATTCAGACAAATTTTAATCTGTGCCTGTTTTAGCAATCTTTGTCATGAAGGAAACGTGCATTAGAGCCTCAGTACCTTCCAGGGATCTTGGATTAAAATCTTATCATCTTCACCATGTATGGCTAGTAGCTATTCTTCCTTTGTAGAGATTGAAATTAAATATATCCAGGTTGATTCCAGGTTGGAAAGAGAGTTATAAATAAAAATGCTTATAGCCTATTTGTGAGCTGGATGGAGATTCCAATCTTGTTTATCTTTTTGAGATCATTGTCTATATTTTAGACTCTTCCTTCCTGAGAAATAACAATTGGGTCAGAAGGAGCAATCAAGGCATTTATTAACTGATACTGCATATTTTTTTCCCAATCTCTATATTGAACTGGACTCCTAAGGTTCTTACCAAACTCATTCTTAATTGTTCATATATTTGCAGGGAAGACATTTGGAAGAGATTGTAATTTTAATTGGGAAGAGTGTATAAGTTCAGGGTTGCATTCTTAAATCACACCTTGTCTTATTTTGCTTTTCTTGTGTGGGCTGTAGAAAACCGACCGAGCCAAACGATTTGAATTCCTGCTAAAGCAGACCGAACTTTTTGCCCACTTTATTCAACCTGCAGCCCAGAAATCACCAACCTCTCCCCTCAAAGTGAAACTGGGACGACCACGGCTAAAGAAGGACGAAAAGCAGAGCTTGCTTTCGGCAGGAGAGTATGCATTGTTTCTAAGTTATTTTTGAAGTTACATTGAAATTGTATTTGCAACTTATTGCATGTACGGAGGGCATGTCAAATTTTTCAACTCTCAATCTTCAAACATTAGTAGGGGTGCTCAAAAGCTGTGACACGCCCTGGGGATTGTAAAGATATTTTAATTGTAAAGATACTTCCATTTAGATGGGCTTTGTAAGTAACTATATACATACCATGACTTTTTAACATTTTGTTGCTTTCATATAGGTAGTCCTCGACTTACAAACACAATTGAGCCCAACATCTCTGTTGCTAAGTGAGACAGTTGTTAAATAAATTTTGCCCCATTTTATGACTTTTCTTGCCATAGTTGTTAAGTGAATCTGCTTCCCCATTGACTTTGCTGGTCAGAAGGTCGCAAAAGATGGAAAATCATAATGAATATGAGCAGTTGCCAAGTGTCCAAATCACGTGACCATGGAGATGCTGGAATGGTCATAAGTGTGAAAGTGTCATGTCGCATTTTTCAGTTGCAACTGTAATTTCAAATGATCCCTAAGCAAACTGCTGTAAGTTGAGGACTACCTGTATGAATGAGAGGAACTGATCTCAGTCTCAAGAGAAGTTTGCATCCCACTCAGCCCTTTTATTTCATGTGAAGTCAGTGACAAAATAGTTGGAAGGGTAATAACAATTAGGGGTGGCATGACAAAAATAATTAGAATGGAATAGGAAGATGGAATGAAATGGAACAGAACGGAATGGGACAGGACAGAATAGGAATGGGAGTAGGAATAGGAATAGGAAAAAACCGAACCGAACAGAACACTTTCTTTGGCCACTAAGTGTCCTTGAAGCAGAAGCACATATGTTGGGTTTTCTTTTTTAGCTATCGCCACAGGAGGACCGAACAAGAGGAGGACGAGGAGCTGCTTTCAGAAAGCCGGAAAACCTCAAATGTGTGCGTCCGATTTGAGGAATCGCCTTCTTGTGAGTGTCCCTATTGGTCATTGTCTCTGCTTGCATAGATACGTCCACTAAATTACAGAATAACAAAGGGGCACTTTATCTTTCTGCAGATGTTAAAGGAGGAACATTGCGGGACTATCAAGTTAGGGGACTGAACTGGATGATCTCCTTGTATGAAAATGGCGTAAATGGCATCTTGGCAGATGAAATGGTAAAGAAACTCATGTTTGTGGATGTAGTTTGAGATAATATAAGGGGAAAAGGAACCAAGAGCTATAAGTTTACTGTTAGTTTTCTTGTCAAGACTCCAAGCTCTTAAAAAGATTTAATAAAACAGCAATTTTGGCTATCGAGCACTTTTTCATACCCCGGTGTGAGAGGAGACACATTCCTTTATGATGGCAAAAAATCAGGAGTTGTCTAGGACCATCTTTTATGACTAACACACCTTATTAAAAGGTATTTGTCAGCTGCAACTCACTTTATCAGATGCATAGAGTGACTAGACCCTAAATTTAAATCCTACATCGACCTACCCAATCTACATATAACAAGATGTGTGTAGCCAGAAATGTTACCACAAACTCCTCCTAATTTCATACCCCATTGTAATAGAACTGGCATTTATTACCTCACGGGTTGTTGATGATCTGAGTCCAGTTTTTCACATTCTCTTTATGATTTGCAACAACCTATATATAGCAGGACAGGCAAGATGGAAAGCTTTTGTGGTTCTAGCAGGAGGAGGGAAAAAGACCTGTCTTTTGTGCCCTTTTCTATCATATTTTGAAGTCCCATTCCCTTGCTCTTTCTCTCTTTTTTTTAAAAGCCAGGTAGTGGGAGTTTTGGGTGATCATGACTATAGCATTATATTTCAATGCAGCGTATCATTTTTTGCATGCAAAAATTTAACCAAGCAGCACATATCCCAAGGAGTCATGAATATAAAGTGAAGGAAGGAATACATAATGCATAACAATAATACGAACCACAACTAAAATATTCAGTTGCAGCGTGGCTCAGAGTGAATTGTAATTAAACATTTCATTCTGCGTAATATTTCTTATGAATTACAGGGGATCGTTCTCAAGAAGTTATTTTATTGTCTGGAAACAAATGCTAATTAGAATAGTAATTTGTATATCGCAATATATTGAAATTATGGCGGATTCTGACTCCATAGATCATACCATGACCATAGGCTTCCTTTATGCATGATTATGGATGGAGATTTTTTCAGAACTGTTAAAAAGAGATGCGTAACATTTAAATACTGTTTTTTTTAAAACTGTTGTAGGGTCTAGGAAAGACATTACAGACAATTGCATTGCTGGGCTATCTGAAGCATTATCGAAACATTCCCGGTCCACACATGGTTCTGGTACCCAAATCAACTTTGCATAATTGGATGAATGAATTTAAACGTTGGGTTCCAACATTACGAGCAGTTTGCCTTATTGGAGACAAGGATGCCAGAGTAAGTGTCACTCTTAGTCAGTCAGCTGGTGATTTGATTTGTAAGTCAGAATGTAATGTTCCCAGAATTCTTTATTTGCACCTTCTGCAATTTCAAGACAGTGTTTCTCAATCTTGGTAACTAGAAGATATGTGGACTTTGATTCCCAGAATTCTCTAACCATGGTCTACACAGCAATGTTTCTCCAACTTGGCAACTTTAAGCTGGCTGGGGAATTCTGGGAGTTAAAGTCCATAATATGTCTTAAAAGTTGCCAAGGTGGAGAAATATCATTTCAGAATATAAAATGATTCATTAATTATTGTA